GCACCCGCTGCTACGTGGCCTGGTGAAGGCATTTACCGGAGGAAATCTGTCAGCCAGAATCCAACAGATGAGTAGACGTGTCTGGAAGTGGTTTAAGGTCGGCTCGTTCGCATCCTGATCTCCTCAACTAGGCTCTCCCTGCGAATGTTGACCTACACAGAGGGGAGCACAAAGTTGCTTTGATATGACGCCAAGTGGCTTGATTTATCGTGACCTCCGGTCCCTGAAGGAGGCCCCTGCACTGCCTTCACGGCCCAGTGTCGTGAGACATCACACCCCAGTCCGGTTACTGGCCCCTCGGCAGGGATCAAGCAGGCTGCAACACACCCAGAGCTGAATCTGTAGAGCAAGCACCTGCCTGCAACCCCACTGAGCCCTCTCCTGCGCAACCATCCCCAGCGCGATGCTCTTCCCACTCTAAAAAACCAAGACCAACGTGTAGATCAGCACTGCTCCCACACATTCCAAGACCTTCAGTGATGGTCCCATGCCCTGGATGGAAAGTGTGAGCAGCCACAAAAGCCAGTGAATCACCCCTACGTGTTCCAGGTCCTGAGCCGATGAACAGCTGAGAGTTCAAGTTCATAAGATGGGAAAGTCCCCAGAGCTCTAAGAAATTGCGTCAGGCAAGGAACTGGAATGTGAGGTGCTACAGGAGTTCCTAGAGGGGCAACTGCTTGAAAAGATCTAACAAGAAGCCAATGTATAAAATCCTGAGAACCTGTTACAGGGGACAAACTGACACCAGAGCAAATGCCCCAGAGCAAGTCTGAGGGGCTGCGGGAACTCACCTTAACCCAGTTTCCAAAAGCACACCCACGAGGCCACCAGCAGGAGTGGGCCTCACCTTGAGTCTGCCAGCCCTGGCTCATGCTCGTGTGCCCCACTGCGTGCAGAGAGAGCCTTCCCCTTGTCACACCTTCTGTCTCAAGCCGCTTTGTTAATTAATTACACCTCGGAGGTTTTCACACTGTGTGGAAGCACTGTACTTTCTTTTGGGCACCACACTCACAAGACGGGCCAGCAAAGCCACCTTGCCACATAAAACCTGACGGGATGGCCACACAGTAGGTCCGGACTGGTCCGGAGGGCCAAGCAGCCGATCCCCTCCTACGTCAAGCCAGCCACCACGGCCCTCACCTCCTCCCTGGTCGCCACGACCCGCAGCTTGATGACTCCATCTTTGAGTTCCTGCTCACCCACGATGGCAACAAGAGGGATGCCCGTTTCCTCGCAGTACTGCAGCTGATTCAGCAGCTTGGGGTTCTTCTTGTACAGCACTTCTGCCTGGAACAGCGCAACACCACCATCAGCACACTGGCCTGTTTCTCTGCACCTCCCTCAACCAGGCACTGCGGGGCCAGTCTGCTAATTGTCTTCAGAAAACAGCCCAGGCTCCTCCCTGGGCTCCCCTCTCCCCTCTTTCTTGCAAGGCTCTGTGGTTTTTCTGTTGGAAGCGGCATAGTATCCCTGGCACCACACAGCAAGGGCGGGAGTTCTGCCTGCTTTGGGAATCAGTCCTTAAAGAATGGAGAAAGAGCAGCCCCTGCAGGGTTACGGGGCTAACCAAGTCATGCTGCCAAGCCCTTCCTGGAGAACACCTGGTTCAGGACACTGAGAAGAGGCAGGCTCCATTCAGGGAGGCATTCTTTGCACCAGAGAGCAGATTAGGGACCTCCAGGCTGCCAACACCTGGTCATACCTTGATTCCAGCATCCCACAGCTCAGCGACGAGCTTCAGCCGTTCTTCAAGGAGCTTCTTTTGGGCAGAGGCCACCAGTACCTGTGTCTCTGTTGTCCTGATCTTTTCCTCAGAGGCCTAGAGAAGGGACAAGATTGAAAAGATGCCATGGACATACAGAGGTATCTGAGACCTTATGAGCAGGATGGGTCACCACCCCAGGCCCATCAGTTTAGCAGTGAAGATGATCAGGGTCAGTGGGATGAAGAGCATAAACTCAGAGCCAGGGAGGCCCCACAAACCCCAGCCTGAAGCAGAAAATCATGTTTTGCGGTTGTTCCATGACAGCGACTTAACACAGCCTCCCTCCTGCGCTGCAAGTACACCCAGGCAGGAGGCTGTGCTGCGAATGAGCAATTTCCCTGCCAGCTTCTGCCTAGAGAGTGTTCCTCCAAACCCAGGGGCCTCCTGGAGACCTGTTCCTCCATGCAGGTCAGAAGCAGCAAGCCCAGCAGAGGCTGGACAGAGGCAGCTGCCTGCTCTACAGCTGAGCTGGTAACTACAGTTTAGATAACAGCAGCAAACTGAGATGCTCCAAGCACTGTCAGGAGCCACCTGCTCCTGTGGCAGATGCTGGATACTCAAAGTGGCATGTTCCTGCTGCTGCTTTTGCTGAAGGCAAAAGCCTTTAAAAGGTCACCTTCAGAGGAACAAACCTGGCCAGGGCTGGAGGTGGTGGGAGATGAACTCATTTTCCACTTAGAAATCCTGGTTGTGTCTGGCTGCCAAGAGAGAACTCCCCACCACAGGCCTCTGAGGGACAGGAGCCTACAAAGATTTATTTAATACCCATTGATTGGGATGGAGGTCAACACATTGGTACAGCAACTCTAAGGAGGGAGGAATAGGAAAAAGGTATCCAGTAAATCCTCAGAAACACAGAGACACTGCCCTCCGTGTCCTAGGACACCTGGTCCCTGTCTGGTCTCTGCAGTGCCTTGGGCAGGATGAGCAGACGAGCGGTCTCATGGATGCCTAATGCAGCAGGGAACACTAAGGTACCTGACCTGGGTAGATGGTACTGCTGAGGATTAAAGTGCCCTGTCCAACTGCAGCTGAATGAGCCCTATCTGAAAGCTGCTGGACAAGGGGTCTCATCTCCAGCAGGAGCTCGAGAGATCTTCGCCCAAGCCAAAGAAAATTGGAGACTATGTGCTTGTTCTGACTCCTGCTACAGGGCACAGTAGGGGCCTGGCTGACTTCTCATCAAAAACTGCAGCAAGGGAGACTCACTTCACCATCTGTTGGACCAGGGCTACATAGGGAAGATGCAAATCCTTGCTCTTTCTCCATGCTTAATTAAGCACCAAGGGCACCTACCTCTACTCTCTGCTCTAGGATGGAGAAGATCCGCTCGATCCCAATGCTGACCCCCACACAGGGCACCTTCCGTCCCTTGGGATCAAACATCCCCACCAGCCCGTCGTAGCGACCGCCTCCAGCCACGCTCCCAACACTGACTGGCTCCCCCACGTGGTCGTTCTCTTC